TAAAAGGGCTCGTTAATAACGGGCTAGTGCGCCCATAGCCCCCCTAGCTCTGCACCTGTGGCCCTTCCCCAAGGATCTTCTCAAGGGTAACCCCAGCGGGTCTCTCGACACTCCCCCCTCTGCAGCGCCAGCATTGGGAATTGAACCCGAATCACCAACGCTCAGATACCATATCAGAACTCAATCACTAAACACTGAGTTAAAAGGGCTTGTTAATAGCAAGTCAATGTACCCATAGCCCCCCAGGCTCTGCACCTTTGGCCCTTCCCCGAGGATCTTTTCAAGGGTAACCCAAGCGGTTCTCTCGACGGAATACACCTTAAAGAGAACTTCCTTGAGCCACATGAGTTTTGTGTCAAACATATATTGTATGTTTTTGTAGACTATATAGGGTTGTGCCTTAGAGAGTACAACCCATTAGGTTATATTCCCTGCTCACTGCTCTTACTCCGACGGTGCAACTGCGGTTGTTGAGACAGCTCCGGCTGTGGAGACAGCCACCGCAGTGCAGTTTCGTCCGGATAAGGGTCGCCGCCCCAAGGCTGGGCGCGGCGGAGGTAGCGGAGGAGGGGGTGGTGCCGGTGGTGGAGGTGGCTCGCCTGCTGGTAATACTGACGAGGGGGCTGGGGCTGGTGCCCCGGAGCAGCCGCCCCAGCAGCAGCAGTAGGCTCCGCAGCTGGACTAGCAGCAGCAGGTGCAGCAGCAGCAGGTGCAGCAGCGGAGGGTCGGCCGTCTCCCGTCCGGGTGGCCTGGAGCTGGAGGTGACGGTGGTCGCAGTGGTCGCTCATGTGGCGTGTTGTCAGGTGGCAGTCAGAGTGACGGGCGCTGCCAGTACCAGCTCCAGACCGGTCCTCGCCGCGGCCTCGTATGCGGTAAGATCGGCCATACCCCCGCTCATTGCTTTCGTCACCTAGACGACCTGTTTCGTCTCCGCTTCGGCCCGTCGCCTGATCTCCTTGACTGGCACAGTCTGCTTCGTCGTCGTGTTCAGATCTTTGATGTGGACATGGATGAGATTAGCTCTGCTTTGTATGCGCTGTATGGAGGTGACTCTAGTGTGACTGGTTCCTATTACCCTGCGTTGCCTAGCGTAGGAGTGCCCAGTGTGCCTAGTTCAAGCTCCCTAGCTGCGTCAGGTGTAGGATCCCCTGCCTTGTTTAGCCTAGGGTCCTCCTTCGCTCCTCCGACCTCTGTCGCCGCTGCCGCGCTCTCCTTCACCCTAGACTCCGGCGCTTCTCGGTGTTTCTTTCGCGACTTCACGACGCTTACGCTGCTTGCCGCTCCTGTTGCAGTTGCTCTTGCAGACCCTTCCTCCAGTCCTGTAGTTGCCCGTAGCTCCACTACTCTCCCCTGTCCGGCGGTTCCCACAGGATCCCTTACAAGCCTATACATCCCCTCGTTCTCTAGGAACCTAGTTCGTGTCGGCTGCCTCTAGGACCTTGGCGTCACCACTACGTTCCCTGGGCACAAGCAGTACACTGTCTGTACTGAGGCCGCCATTGGTGCTCCCCTACCTCCGCACCGCTGCAGACCCTGAACATGGACGGCTGGGGCCCTGCCCCCGCTCCATGGGCCTCGTCACGAGCGCTACTTCCTAGTGCTTGTCGACGACTACACCCGCTACACCACTGTCTTTCCCCTGGAGCGGAAGGCCGACGTGCCCGACGTTCTTCTCCCGTGGCTTGTCTCTGCGTGTGTTCACCGAGGTCTCTCTGTCTTGCGTCTTCACTCCGACCGTGGTGGCGAGTTTGCCTCTGGCTGCCTTGATCGCTTCTGTCGTGCGGAGGGCATCAACCAGACGTTCACCCTGCCGGACTCCCCGCAGCAGAATAGGGTTGCTGAGCGACGCATCGGTTTGGTCATGGAGGTGGCTCGTACCTCCATGATCCATGCCGGTGCACCCCATTTTCTGTGGTCGTTCGCCGTTTGCTACGCCGCTCAGCAGCTTAACCTCTGGCCGCACCCTCAGCGGTCGCAGGTTTCGCCGACCCTCCTCTGGACCGGGTCCCCTGGTGACGCGTCTCCGTTCCACGTTTGGGGTTGCCTTGCTCACGTTCATGCCTCTGGCACGGACAAGCTCACTGCCCGCACCGTCCCCTATGTCTTCCTAGGTTTCCCCCTCGACTCGTCGGACTGGCAGTTCTACCACCCGCCTTCTCACCAGTTCTTTCACTCTCGTGACGTCACTTTTGACGAGTCCGTCTCCTTCTACCACCACTTTCCCCACCGTGGTCCCCCGGTCACTCCCCCCCGATTCCTGGTGCCCCCCCTCCCTTGGTCGACCCTGTCCACCCCCCTCCCTGCCCCGCCCCATCTGGTGTGTCTCACGTCACCCCCCTCTCGTCGGTTGTCCCTGCTGAGGAGTCCGCTGACTCTCGCAGCTCGGCGGAGTCTCTTCCCCCGCCTGTCCCTACCCCAGTCTCGCATCCCTGTTGCCGCCGCTGCTGTCCCCGCCGCAGCCGCCGTCGTCACCGCCGCTGGGGTTCATGCATTCTGGGGGTGCTGGGGAGCGGGCTGGAGCTGATCCTGGAGAGGGCTCTGAGGGTGCTGGTGTGGGGCTTCTTAGAGGGAGCCGTATTGCCGCTGGAGGTTCTGGTGTTGGAGTCGGGCAGCAGTCGCAGCTGTCGCTGCCAGCGACCGCTCTTTGCCTCCTCGGTCTTCCTTCCCCTGACCGCCCGTCGCTACCTCCCCAGCTACCGCCGCCTCCTCCTATGCCGGTCCACGGCCCGTGTTTCCTCCTCCTGACTCCTCTCCGGCTCGTTTCCCTCCCCATTCTCCTCCTGTGTCTCATCCCCTCTCTCACGACCCGACTCCTCCGTCTCACGTCTGGTCTCGTCGTTCGTCTCGTGCTCGTCCTACCTCCCATGTTCCGCGTTCTCACCCTATGTTGCTTCGCTCTTACGCATCTCGTGCTCCTCCTCTCCTCCCGTCTCCTCCTCCGTCGTCGCTTGCTGTGGCCCCGCCTCCGTTCTCGGACTTCCTCCGTGCTGTGCGTCCCCTTGTTCCTCGTGTCCTTGCCTCTCTCGTTACCGATCCGTCCGTTCCTATCTCGAGTCTTTCGGCTCTTGTCGCTACTGTCATTGACTTCACCGCTACCCGCTGCCTGGACTACGCCACCGCTCTAGTCTCTGACCCTGCCTGCCCTCCGACTGTCGGGGGTGTGGCTGCTCTTGGCAGTGACGTCCTAGAGGACAGGTAGTACGAGCTCGCTTTCCTGTCTGAGGCCGCTCCCCATCTCTGCTCCATGCTTCTAGTCCCTGAGAGTGACCCTGACGCCCTCGTCATCCCGACCCCTCGACATAGTCGATGGCCGGTGGCTCTTCAAGGTGAAGCGCCCTCATGGAGAGCCGCCTGTCATAAAGGCGCGCTACGTCGCTTGAGGCTTCAGTCGGCGTGAGGGTGTGGAATTCTTTCAGACCTTCGCCCCGACCCCGAAGATGACCACTCTTCGAGCGCTGCTACACGTAGCAGCACAGCGTGACTACGAGCTGCACTCCCTCGACTTCTCCACAGCTTTCCTCCAGGGCAGTCTACGCGAGCAGGTCTACCTGCGCCGCCCCCAGGGCTTCTCCGGTACCTTCCCCCCTGGCACCGAGTGGCTCTTCCGGCGCCCCGTCTACGGCTTGCGACAGGCGCCCCGTGAGTGGCACGACACGCTGCATGCTACACTTGCTGACTTGCAGTTCTTCCCTTCGTCTACAGACCCCTCGCTCTTTGTCCGTTCCGGCCAGACTCCGTTCTACATCCTTGTCTATGTAGACGATCTGGTCTTTGCTACTACAGACAGAGATGCACTGGCCACCGTGAAGGCCGAGCTGCTGAGGAGACACACCTGCACTGACCTAGGAGAGCTGCGCCGCTACCTTGGCTTGCAGATCTCCAGGGACAGAGCAGCGCGCACCATCACTCTCTCATAGCCACACTTGGTGCGCCAGGTCCTTCAGAGGTTCTGCCTTTAGTTCTCCTCCGCACAGCCCATCTTTCTGTCAGTAGACCACAGACTCTCTGCCCCAGTCTCTGAGGAGGCTGTAGAACCTAGTGGTCCCTACGCAGAGCTAGTGGGTTGCCTCATGTACCTGATGACTTGCACTCATCCAGATCCTGCATACCCTCTCAGCATCCTGGCTCGCTTTGTGACCCCAGGCAGACACCGACCACAGCACTGGTTGGCAGCTAAGAGGTTTTGCGTTATTTAGCAAGTACATCGGGCATGGGGCTAGTGCTAGGAGGATGCAGACAAGTGGTCCTTACCGGGCACACAGACGCTTCTTGGGCAGACGACGCCGAGACCCTCAGGTCCTCACAGGGCTACTCCTTTAGCCTTGGTGCAGGTGCCATCTCGTGGAGGTCCACCCGTTCCTTGTGTGTTGTCCAGTCTAGCTGTGAGGCTGAGATCTACAAAGGTGTCATGGCGGCACAGGAGCTCCGCTGGCTGACCTTCTTGCTCACCAACTTGGGTGAGCGGCCTAGCTCTGCCCCGGTTCTGTACGCCGACGACAGGGCCATGATCCTCCTGTGTCAGGAGCCACGACTTGAGGGCAGAGCAAAGCACATCCAGTTGCGGTACTTCCTCCTGCGTGAGGTGCAGCTGCGTCACCAGGTTCGTGTAGTACACTTGGCCTCAGGTGCCAACACAGCTGATATCTTTACTAAGGCGCTTGTGCCTAAAGATCATTAGCGGCACTGTGTACAGCTAGGTCTCGTTCCTATAGCCTCTCACTTGCTAGGACCTTGATTGTGTACAGACATTTATATATATTACCCTGACTGGCCTTGTGGCCTCTTCCCAATGGCTGGACTAGTAGTGCCACCCTAGTCTTGCTCTTGACTTGTCTGTATTTGTTTGACTAGTCTTTAGACCCCTGCCTCGAAGGCTGGACTAGTAGTGCCACCCTGAGCTGTTTCTCTCTCATCGGGCACTGCCCTTATCCAGTCTAGGGGGTGTGTCAAACATATATTGTATATTTCTATAGACTATATTGGATTATGCCTTAGGGAGTACAACCCATTAGGTTATATTCCCTTGTATGCCTTGTTTCACTTGAACATTTTGTTGGGTTGAACCAGGCTCTGTCAAGCCAAAATGCCCCGAAAAGCTGATACCTGTACAGCGTGCTTGTTACGGTAGGTGCCAAATTTGGCAAGAGCAGAATTAGGCTGCTACAAGTACGCAGGAGGCAGAGGGGGCGATTGTTTCCTAACAGCGACAGCAGCGTGAGAGAGCGAGAAATCCCTGGCCCATGACTTGGGCGTCCAGTCAGTATCATGGATAAACTGGGTGCACGAGCGGATGGCCATGGTGTTGAGCGCGCGGTAGTGGTTCAGATGCACGTCGCGCACATCCAGGTCCACCCCAGCCATGCGCACAGGAGGAGGGGGAGCAGGGATGGCAGTGGCGGTGGTGTTGTCGGTGTTACTGGCTGTGGGTGTGGGAGTGGTGGTGGTGGTGGTGGCGTTGCTGGTGGCTGTGGGAGGGTCTGTGGAGCTTGGAGTGGAGGCTGGTAGGCTCGACGATGTGGCCGGTAGGGGCCACGTCTTGGTGGCCGCGTGAATCTGGCCAGCACGGGAAGATGGTAAGTAGGGAACAAATGGGGTGCGACAGGCAAGGCATGAGGCAGACAGCGCATGAGGCTAACAAGGCAGGTTCGGCACAGTACACAAGTCAAATGTACCCCAAACAACTCTGTTTTGACTCACCCCAAACAGCTTCACTCTCCTTGGATCGGCCACGTCTTGCCAGTGCCCATCTAACACCCTGCCGGCACGGATAGCAGGAAAAAATCGCAGAATTCCACCCTGCTTCTTACCGCACACAGCTTGTCTCTCCTTGGGTCAGTGAGATATTTCCAGAGCCCATCGAACCCCAGGCACAGGTCACGCGACTCGTAGCGCCCTGGTGGGACTCATATCACACACGGTGCACATCAGCCGTTTGACCGACTCACCCCGAACAGCTTGACCCTCCTCGGATCGGCCACATACTTCCGGTGTCCATCGAACCCAAGGCACAGGTTGCGCGATTCATAGCGCTTAGGCGCCACACAATGCACGTCGGCTTGGCGGAAGATCATCCGCTCCACCTCCCAGCGCGGAGGGGCGGAGGCAGAGACGTTCATTGAGTGAGAACACTTGTCGGTGTAGAAGTAGAGGCTGCCGAATGAGACAAAGGCTGCTTGCTGCACAAACAAGGGGTGAATTGGGAGAGGGAGAATACAAAAGAGGTTTGGTTAAAGGGCACTAGTAGCTGACACGTCCATTGGGTACGAGCACTTGTCGGTGTAGAAGTAGAGGCTGCCGAATGAGACAAACGCTGCTTGCTGCACAAACGAGGGGTGAATTGGGGAGAGGGGGAGAATACAAAAGAGGTTTGGTTAAAGGGCACTAGTAGCTGACACGCTCATTGAGTGAGAGCACTTGTCGGTGTAGAAGTAGAGGCTGCTGAATGACACGAAGGCTGCTTGCTGGATGGAGTGGGTGGGGAGAGAGAGCGCCACAAGCAAATGCGTTTGGCTGGAGCTGGCGGCTCACTGGCTGACTGAAGCACTTGTCGGTGTAGAAGTAGAGGCTGCCGAATGAGATGAAGGCCTCTTGCTGCAGAGACGAAGGAGGGAGATGGTCCAAGGGCACATGCACAGCACATGCACAGCACATGCACAGCACGTGCACAGCACATGCACAGCACATGCACAGCACGTGCACAGCACATGCACAGCACGTGCACACAACACAAGCTAAATCAGACGCGAATGAGATTGGCGAAGCCCGTATACTGTATTCGCCAATTTGTAGGGTATTTTGAAACAGCTTCACTTACCCCATGCTTGGCTAGTGTGCTAATCGAGGAAGAACCAACGGGCTGTGAGAATCAAGAATGAAGAGTCAAAGGAATTACCTCGTTACGAGCGAGCGTGCTAATGAGAGAAGAACCAAAGGGCTGTGAGACGTAAAGGTACTCGTCAAAGTCGAGGAAGAGCACCCATCGGGAGGTGAAGAGCGAGCGATAGGCACAGTCGTTGACCACCAGCACCTAATCGGGGGGGAGCGGGGAGACGAAGAGAAAGGGGGAGAGAAGCAGACTGAAGGGCTGCGAGAAGTAAAACTCTGACTCCATGTCGAATGCAGGGCTGAAGTACTCGTCGAAGTCGAGGAAGAGAACCCAGCGGGAGGTGAAGAGGGAGCGATAGGCACAGCCATTGACCACCAGTACATGGTTTGCAGAATAGAGGAAGAGAGGAGGAGGCAGGTACAGACAGAGGAGGAAGGCAATTAGTTGCCTTAATAGACTAAAAGAGAGAAGGGAGCGACAGGAATAGTCATCGATCACCAGGACCTGGTTAGCAGGGTAGAGAAAGAGGGAAAGGGTGCAGACAGAGGAGGGGGGTAATTAGATGCCTTAATAGGCGAGAGCGAGGAGAAGAGGGAGCGACAGACAGGTGTAGTCATTGATCGCCACTAGGACCTGTTCAGGCAGTAGGGGGGAAGAGAGAGAGAGAGAGGCAGAGAGAGGAGAGACTACACCCAACCCCACCCCCAAAACCCCCCTCTCTCCCAACCCCCATCCCCAACCCCCCCTCTCCCCCCCCCCAACTCACCTGCCCAAACCACGTCTCAAACTCGTCCACTTCAGTCACGTCCGTTACAGTCATCTGCTTGGCTCTGATAAACGGCGACAATGTCTTCATTATAGGCTCGCCCATGCCGCCCGCATCGTACATGTGGAAGAGGTCCACCCCGTGCCCTTGCTGGTGGTACACCACCCACTCGAGGACCCTCAGGGAGTTAAATTTCCCATAGATGGGTGATGAACAGTAGGTGATGTTGCTGGCATAGGGGCCTGAGGGCTGGGGAACAGAGGAGAAACAAAGGAATGCTTTAAGAAGTGGGTAAAGGTTCGCCAGAGACATTGGCGAGGGAGGGAAGGGGGATAGGGAAGGTCCAACCTGTGGCCCCGCTGGTGGTATGCCACCCGCTCGAACACCAGAAGGGAGTTAAACCACCCGTAGATGGGCGAGGAGCAGTATGTAATATTGCTGGCATAGGGGCCCGAGGCCTGGGGGAATAGCGGGAGACAGGGAGAATGCTTGTAGAATAGGGGCCTGAGGGCTGGGGGAATAGAGGGAGACAGGGAGAAGTACGTTATGCTGCTGGGGTTGGAAGGAGGAAGGGAGAGAGGGAGGGAGGGAGGGAGAGAGGGAGGGAGGGAGGGAGAGAGGGAGGGAGGGGGAGAGGGAGGGAGGGAGGGAGAGAGGGAGGGAGGGAGGGAGAGAGGGAGGGAGGGAGGGCACGTGATAAAAGGTTTGTTTTGAGACGTCTAAAAAAAAACCTTTTATCAGTTGAATCGGCCATAGATGAGGAGCAGTACCTTATGCTGCTGGGGTGGGAAGGAGGGAGGGAGGGAGGGAGGAGGGAGGGAGGGAGGGGGAGGGAGGGAGGAGGGAGGGAGGGAGGGAGGGAGGGAGGGAGGAGGGAGGGAGAGGAGAGGAGGGAGGGAGCGAGGGAGAGAGGGAGGGAAGAGAGGAGAGAGGGAAGCACGCCCTCTTATGGGTTGGCAGCAGATGGGCGAGGAGCAGTAGGCCATGGTGCTGGGGTATTGTGGTGAGGGCTGGGGGGAAATGGGAATCAGAGGTACAGTAGGGATACAAACTCCGGGAAGCCTCAAGCTGAAAGAAGAGACGGAAGGGAAGAGAGAGAGAAAACATGAGTTACGAGAAAAATGTACATCGATTAATGTACATGAGAAAGAGGGGAAATGTGGCCATCGATTGGAAGGAACAATTTAGATCAATGGCCGCCTTTTTTATCAATGGCGTTTTAGAAAGGACCATCGTCATGCCTCCTTTCTAAAACACCACAAGCTAGACTACACACCTCAATTGGCAGCTTCTGATTGGCCGGTTCACCGAGCACCAGGATCTCCTCTCGCTCAATCACAACCGTCAGATGGCCTCCAGCGCTCCACCCATCCCCCTCCCGACCCTCCCTCTCGTGCTGAGCGTGGGGCTGCTGAGCTGGCAGAACAGCATTGCCACCTCATAGGGCTTCCCGTGAGATTCGCCCGGATATTCTATTGATATTTCGCCGAGGATAGGGGAAGAGGATGACGTGGCAGGATACCACCTGGAGTGGGGAAGTCAATAAGGGGGATGAAGGGGAAGAGGAGACCAAGGGAAGGCTTGCAGCAGAGCAGCAGAGCAGCAGAGCGCACACAAGAGCAGCAGCGCCGCGCCACCACATAGGGCTTGCCATGTAACTCCCAGAAATGTTCTATTGATATTTTGCTAAGGATGGATGAGGGGGGGAGGGATGGGAGGATGACAAGGCACGTTGGCAGCTGGAGGAACGGGGGCTGGCTGGGGGCGGTGGTGGGTGGGTGGAAGGATTTTTTGAGGCGCCTCAAAAATAGGAACGGGGGCTGGCTGGGGCAGGGGGGCGGTGGTGGGTGGGGGGAAGGGAGCCACAGAGGGCTGCAGAAGGTGAGTCTGGGGCTTCTGTGAGGAGCAGCCTACTAGCTTCTGTGAGGTGTTCTGGGATAGCCTACTAGCTGGAGGGAGGTCGCAGAGGGTGCGTGATGGGGGTTCTGTGAGGAGCAGCCCTACTAGCTTCTGTGAGGTGTTCTGGGATAGCCTACTAGCTGGAGGGAGGTCGCAGAGGGTGCGTGATGGGCTTCTGTGAGGAGCAGGCCTACTAGCTTCTGTGAGGTGTTCTGGGATAGCCTACTAGCTGGAGGGGAGGTCGCAGAGGGTGCGTGATGGGGCTTCTGTGAGGAGCAGCCTACTAGCTTCTGTGAGGTGTTCTGGGGATAGCCTACTAGCTGGAGGGAGGTCGCAGAGGGTGCGTGATGGGGCTTCTGTGAGGAGCAGCCTACTAGCTTCTGTGAGGTGTTCTGGGGATAGCCTACTAGCTGGAGGGAGGTCGCAGAGGGTGCGTGATGGGCATCTGTGAGGAGGCAGCCTACTAGCTTCTGTGAGGTGTTCTGGGATAGCCTACTAGCTGGAGGGAGGTCGCAGAGGGTGCGTGATGGGGCATCTGTGAGGAGCAGCCCTACTAGCTTCTGTGAGTGTTCTGGGATAGCCTACTAGCTGGAGGGAGGTCGCAGAGGTGCGTGATGGCATCTGGAGGAGCAGCCTACTAGCTTCTGTGGTTTCTGGATGCTACTAGCTGGAGGGAGGCCGCAGAGGGTGCGTGATGGGATCTGTGAGGAGCAGCCTTACTAGCTTCTGTGAGGGTTCTGGGATAGCCTACTAGCTGGAGGGAGGTCGCAGAGGGTGCGTGATGGGGCTTCTGTGAGGAGCAGCCTACTAGCTTCTGTGAGTGTGTTCTGGGATAGCCTATTAGCTGGAGGGAGGTCGCAGGGAGGGTGCGTGATGGGGCTTCTGTGAGGAGCAGCCTACTAGCTTCTGTGAGGTGTTCTGGGATAGCCTACTAGCTGGAGGGAGGCCGCAGAGGGTGCGTGATGGGGCTTCTGTGAGGAGCAGCCTACTAGCTTCTGTGAGGTGTTCTGGGATAGCCTACAAGCTGGAGGGAGGTCGCAGAGGGTGCGTGGATGGGGCTTCTGTGAGGAGCAGCCTACTAGCTTTCTGTGAGGTGTTCTGGGATAGCCTATAGCTGGGAGGGAGGTCGCAGAGGGTGCGTGATGGGGCATCTGTGAGGAGCAGCCTACTAGCTTCTGTGAGGTGTTCTGGGATAGCCTACTAGCTGGAGGGAGGTCGCAGAGGGGTGCGTGATGGGGCATCTGTGAGGAGCAGCCTACCTAGCTTCTGTGAGGTGTTCTGGGATAGCCTACTAGCTGGAGGGAGGTCGCAGAGGGTTGAGTGATGGGGCATCTGTGAGGAGCAGCCTACTAGCTTCTGTGAGGTGTTCTGGGATAGCCTACTAGCTGGAGGGAGGCCGCAGAGGGTGCGTGATGGGCATCTGTGAGGAGCAGCCTACTAGCTTCTGTGAGGTGTTCTGGGATAGCCTACTAGCTGGAGGGAGGTCGCAGAGGGTGCGTGATGGGGCATCTGTTGAGGAGCAGCCTACTAGCTTCTGTGAGGTGTTTCTGGGATAGCCTACTAGCTGGAGGGAGGCCGCAGAGGGGTGCGTGATGGGGCATCTGTGAGGAGCAGCCTACTAGCTTCTGTGAGGTGTTCTGGGATAGCCTACTAGCTGGAGGGAGGCCGCAGAGGGTGAGTGATGGGGGCATCTGTGAGGAGCAGCCCTACTAGCTTCTGTGAGGTGTTCTGGGATAGCCTAACTAGCTGGAGGGAGGTCGCAGAGGGTGCGTGATGGGGCATCTGTGAGGAGCAGCCTACTAGCTTCTGTGAGGTGTTCTGGGATAGCCTACTAGCTGGAGGGAGGTCGCAGAGGGTGCGTGATGGGGCATCTGTGAGGAGCAGCCTACTAGCTTCTGTGAGGTGTTCTGGGATAGCCTTACTAGCTGGAGGGAGGCCGCAGAGGGTGCGTGATGGGGCATCTGTGAGGAGCAGCATACTAGCTTCTGTGAGGTGTTCTGGGATAGCCTACTAGCTGGAGGGAGGTCGCAGAGGGTGAGTGATGGGGCATCTGTGAGGAGCAGCCTACTAGCTTCTGTGAGGTGTTCTGGGATAGCCTACTAGCTGGAGGGAGGTCGCAGAGGGTGCGTGATGGGGCTTCTGTGAGGCAGCCTACTAGCTTCTGTGAGGTGTTCTGGGATAGCCTACTAGCTGGAGGGAGGTCGCAGAGGGTGCGTGATGGGGCATCTGTGAGGAGCAGCCTACTAGCTTCTGTGAGGTGTTCTGGGATAGCCTACTAGCTGGAGGGAGGTCGCAGAGGGTGCGTGATGGGGCATCTGTGAGGAGCAGCCTACTAGCTTCTGTGAGGTGTTCTGGGATAGCCTACTAGCTGGAGGGAGGTCGCAGAGGGTGCGTGATGGGGCATCTGTGAGGAGCAGCCTACTAGCTTCTGTGAGGTGTTCTGGGATAGCCTACTAGCTGGAGGGAGGCCGCAGAGGGTGCGTGATGGGGCATCTGTGAGGAGCAGCATACTAGCTTCTGTGAGGTGTTCTGGGATAGCCTACTAGCTGGAGGGAGGTCGCAGAGGTGAGTGATGGGGCATCTGTGAGGAGCAGCCTACTAGCTTCTGTGAGGTGTTCTGGGATAGCCTACTAGCTGGAGGAGGTCGCAGAGGGTGCGTGATGGGCATCTGTGAGGAGCAGCCTACTAGCTTCTGTGAGGTGTTCTGGGATAGCCTACTAGCTGGAGGGAGTGATCAAAGGTCATTCCCCTGGTAACGCCCACCACGCCTCTTTCGCCTCATATTCAGTTGGCATAGCTACACGATGTGTAGCTACAACGCACGTGGGCATACTACGCATTTGGACATGCTGCGCGTTTGGACATACCACGCATTTGGTCCTAATCCGCATTTGGGCATAGGTAGTGGTGGGCATGTCACACAATGTGAGAGGATTTGCCCAGCCCACACAGCTAAACTAGTCACACCAACCCTCTTCTCATCAACACACACCAACCCTCCTCTCACCGGCATATCCTTTTGCCCAGGTTGTGGTGCAGACAGAGGCAGGGGAGGGAGAGGCCGATAACCACACACAAGAAGGCTTTCTAGCACTTCCAACCAACCACCATTATTCTCACCAGCATATCCCCCAACTCACCGGCATATCCTTGTATCGAGGTTGCGGTGTAGAGGCAGGGGAGAGAGGCCGATAACCACAAAGAGAGACGCTGAGATGCGATAAGCGCTGAAATACACAAAGCCCTGTCAGTCAGGGAAGGGAGAGAGGAGGATGGACAAAGAGGGGTGCGAAGACGCGGTTTGCACTGAAATGCACGAAGCCCTGTCAGGGAAGGGGAGAGAAGCGGAGGAAGAGAAACTCGAGGGAGGTCAGCCGAGAAACGGGCTGCACCATCAGTGACTCCAGTCCGGATATTAATGCGTAAAATGCCGTGCGTACTAATGGTGCACGGCACGGACTGGACGCACGGCATCAGTCCGGATATTAATGCGTAAAATGCCGTGCGTACGCCGAATGCCCTCTCTTCAATGCGCAGTCTGTGGCATAGGAGAGGCGCAGTGCAGATAGCCCCCACTGCCCTCTGCTACCCCTCACTCCCCCCAAGCACGTTGAGTTGACTCAGTCAACTCACCTGCATGCCGAATCCCCTCTTGAATGCGCCGTCTGTGGCATTGGAGAGGCGCAGTGCGGAAATCCTCCCCCGCCCTCTGCCCTCTCTGTTACCCCCCTCACCCAGTTTCAGGTGACCTTTGAGTTGACTCAGTCAACTCCCTCACCCAGTTTCAGTTTTGAGGCGCCTCAAAACTAGACTCCCTCCCCCAGTTTCAGGTGATCTTTGAGTTGACTCAGTCAACTCACCTGCATGCCGAATCCCCTCTTGAATGCGCCGTCTGTGGCATTGGAGAGGCGCAGTGCGGACACCCCCCCCTGCGCTCCCAGCGCCCCACTGCCTTTCCCCCCAAACGCACTCCCCCTGTCCGCCCTCCGCCTCCAGTGCTGGTTCTTATGTCCACGTCAGCAGCATCGTCAATATCCAGGGTCCCGGAAAAAGTGGGAGCGGTGCTGATTGGTGGAACGGGGGATGAAGGGGGAAGGGGGAGGGGAGAAATGGAAAAGGGGGGAATATGTCCCCCGGTGGGATCCGCGGAAACGAGGGGGGATCCACGGAAACGAGGGGGATCCGCGGAAACGAGGGGGATCCGCGGAAACGAGGGGGATCCGCGGAAACGAGGGGGATCCACGGAAACGAGGGGGATCCGCGGAAACGAGGGGATCCGCGGAAACGAGGGGGGATCCGCGGAAACGAGGGGGGATCCGCGGAAACGAGGGGGGATCCGTGACTTTTGAGTCGACTCAAAAGTCACCTCGAAATGGGAAAAGGGGGAATACGTCCCCCGGTGGGATCCGCGGAAAGAAGTAAAGGGAGGGGGTGAGAAGGGGGTGGGCGGAGGGGGGTGAAGGTCGGAATGGGAAGAGGGAGGAAGGAGAGGGGGTAGGATGAGGGGGAGGGTTGGGATACATGAAGATGTAACTGAAACGAGTCAGCCAGTAGCGCGCACCCATAGAGAGTGACGAGGGTGAAGCAGTTGGTGCAGAGCAGAGCGAAAACGAAGAACTTGTTGCGATTGTAACCAGCCGTCGCGTGAGCTTGCGACAGCACCTGCGACAGCTTCATGACCGCCGGCTACTACTCCTGACTCCGTACGCGCTACTAGCTGCAGCGTCTCTGCGAAAAATTCGCCGTCAATAATACTGGCTGTACGCGGTTAGTTAATCGCCGCATTATTCCATACGTACGCCAGTCACCGCTACTACGTGACACGACTGAAAAGGCGGGATTCGTTTTGATGGCGCTCACCGCGCTTACTGCGCTCACTGCGCTCACTGCTTGACCATGCCTTGTTTGGTCACTTGGCGGAGGAATCAGAAACCCCCTGCTTAAAGCCCGTGTCTACATTTGTGGTTGCTGTTTTCAAATCAGAAACATTTGAAAGAGGGTAACCTAATAAACTGAGCTACTTAGCCGCTAACTCGCCCAATCCCTTCAAAACATTTGAATCCGGCCTCGATCACAATTGTGTACAGATTTGGCTTACCCCAGGATTTCGATCCCCCTCCCCCTCCAATTGCGATTCCCCCTCCCCCTCCAATTGCGATTCCCCCTCCCCCTCCAATCGCAATTCCCCCTCCCCTCCAATTTCGATTCCCCCTCCCCCTCCAATTGCTATTCCCCACTCCCCCCTCCAATTACGACCCCCCTCCCGCCTCTCCCCAAATTTCGGTCCCCTCGTCCCCCTCAAATTCCTCTCCCCCCTCCAATCTCGCAACTCTCGCTTCTCGATGCTTGCGAATTCCGCATTCTCTGTCGTCAGTTTTCCAGTTTCGCCTCTCTCGTAAGCCAATCACGCAAAACCAGGCCCACAGATCCTAAAGCTACACCACGAACCCCCTCAAATGTAGTCGCCGGCTTTAAGAAGGGTTCCTGACATATTATTCGTGTTTTCGCACGTTTCTACGTGGTGCTATGGGTTGCTCCAGCGTCAGCTGTGGGGGCATTTGACGACATGTTTGGGTGTGGTGGGGGAAGGTGTGGGGGCATTTGAGGACAGCGTCAGGTGTGGGGCATCCAGCCCCCTCAACGAATGGCAACCTCAAGCCGATTTGGCAGGCAACCCAAGAAAGTAACCCATTTCAGATATGTACACTTTCGTAAAGTTCTTACTCTGAAACCATGAGTCACCTTTTAGCGAGTATTTTCCACAACCCAGCTCCGTGTCCTGGGCTGCAGCGAGATTATGCAGAGCAGAGCCAGTCCCTAGCCCAGCAGACACCATCTTTCGTCGGCAATACCAAGGCTGGATCTCCCTCGAGGCCCGCTGCGGCGAGTCCCCTGAGGGCCAGCTCGATTCTGCGTCGAAGCTGGCGGTCGCTGGTAGGGTAACCAGGCCCGGCGAAGGAGAACGGTGGATTCGCATATTTGACGAACGTCAGGCTGCTTGTCGTTTCGTCGCTTTTAGT